TGTCATTGAATACTGCTTTTATCACAACCAGACATACTCCGTATAAATTTTAGAAGAAAGTTCAGTGATGTATTTAGTTTGAAATGAGCAAAGAAGAAGTAGCAACCAATTCTATTAACACTTAATTCATTGCTTTTTATTATTAATATTTTTTTAACTTTTATCATATTTTCGGTTAATCCATTTCTTATCAGCAAAAATCCAAACACCATTTAACTTTACCATTCCATAAGGATCGTGAAGAGTTAGAAAACCTTTAACTAAGAGGACATTGTTTTTTCCTAACAATCATTTTTCAATACAAGCTAATTCCTGTTATACTCATCTTTCAAAACAAAGTAAAAAAATAGCAGAATTAATTTTTCAAGATAAAAGAATCCCCATCTTTTAACACAGGAAAAGTATTTGTTAATGCTTCTTGACTCTTCTTTGTCAATGTTGCATTTAAAGAGTCTTGTACCCCACATTTTCCTTTTATAATATACTTTCCATAAGGATCAATAATTGCACTTTCACCTATGTAATGAGAGTCTTCATCATTTGGTAAGCAATTTGGTAAAGAACCACAATTATTAGCAGCAAGAACAAAACATTGATTTTCTATTGCTCTTGCTTTTGTTAGTATTTTCCAATGTGCTCTATTTAACATACTCCAACAACCAACAATAATTAGAATGTCATAATGATTTTCTAATGTATTTCTGAGCCATACAGGAAAACGTAAATCATAACATACAGCTAATAAGATATTCCATCCTTTATAATTTACAATACATTTCTTTAAACCATTGCTAAACTCTAAACCTTCTCCTCCCATATGATATAAATGACGTTTATCATACCAAACACATTCTTCAGATGGATAAATAAAATACATTCTATTATAAATTCTTTCTCCATCTTTAATAGTAATAGAACCAGTAATAGCACATTTTCTTGTTCTAGCAATTGTTTTCATCCATTGAAGTGTAGGACTTGATGAGTGGTCTTCAGCAACAAGATGTGCTTTAGGTTGAAAACCAGTATTAAACGTTTCAGGTAAAACAAACAAATCGATGTTATTAGAAGAATGTTGAATGATTGATTGTATTTGTTTTAAATTTTCAGCTTTATTCCAAAATAATGTAAAAGGTTGAATAACACAAACATTTAAAGACATTAATAAGAATAATAATGACTTTAATAGATTAAATGATATTTTTTAAAAAATTCTATTCATTTAATAAAAAACTAATATAAAGATAAATTTAAAACATCCAAAGAACAAAATAAAACAATTGATATTAAGCAGTATCAAGTTCAGTTCCCAAAGAGAAACGATATCTAAGATTAATTCTTCTAATTAATCTAAAACGTTCTCTCTTTGGTAATATTTGTAAAACCTCTCTCATTTTTTGTAATAATCTTGGCTCTAATTCTTTAGCTCTTCTACACATCTCTTTTAATTCTTTTATTCGTTGTTGTTGAACCATACGATCCATAACACTTCTTCCTAATTTTGGTTTAATTCGAAATTCATTATCCAAAGCGATTAATGCTAATCTTTCAACTTCTTCAACTTGTTTTAATTTTTGGTCAAGTGCTTTTATAGCTGTTTCTACTCGTTGAATAGTTGGTGAAACACTAGGAGTAGCAAATAATGGGTCTCCTCCAGATAAATCAATTTGGGCATAAACCATTGAAAATGTCAGGAACAACACAGCAAAGGCATTTACCATGTGTAATCAAAATATAATACTTTAATAGTTTTGTTTTAAATATTTTCTTTCTCTTTTATTTTTTAGTTTTATTTTTTAGATTTTCCTTTTTTTATTGTTTTGATTTTTATCTTTATTTTCGTTATTTATAACATAAAATTATCACTTTCTTATTTTTTAATAATACATTGATGTAACTGTTATCCAAATAACCAAAAGTCTATGGTGAAAGAAAACATTGGATTATTTGTAACAAGCAACTACAATTATCAATAAACTAAAATGAAAAGAAATATAAAGAAAAAACCCTATTTTTTTTTTTAATAATTTTGTTAATATCTTCAAAGTAATAATGAGTGCTCTTTCATTGCGTATTAATGCAAAAGATGGACGGGCAAGACAATGTACATTGACACTTCCTCATGGAGAAGTAGAAACTCCAGTGTTTATGCCAGTAGGGACAAAAGCAAGTGTAAAATCATTAACGTATGAACAAGTAAAAGAAATGGGATGTCAAATATTATTGGCAAATACTTATCACATGTTTCTTCATCCAGGAGTTGATGTATTAAAGAAAGCAGGAGGATTACACCAATTTGCTAAATGGGATGGAAATATATTAACAGACTCTGGAGGATTTCAAATGGTGTCATTATCTGACACAATGACAGTTAATGAACAAGGTGTTATTTTCCAATCTATTGTAGATCATAAACCAATTAATTTACCACCTGAAGAATCTATTCATATACAACAAGCAATAGGATCAGATATTATGATGCAATTGGATGATGTAGTTTCTTCATTAACAACTGGTCCTAGAGTAGAAGAAGCAATGGAAAGAAGTGTACGGTGGTTAGCACGATGCAAAAATGAATATCTTAAAACAAAAGAAAAACAAAATTTATTTGGTATTATTCAAGGAGGACTTCAACCAAATCTAAGAGAACGATGTCTTGAAGGTATGGTTAAAGTAGACACTCCAGGGTATGCAATTGGTGGATTATCTGGAGGAGAAGCAAAAGATGATTTTTGGAAGATGGTTGATATTTCTGCACAAGGATTACCAGAAAATAAACCAAGATATCTTATGGGAGTTGGATATCCTGTTGAAATGTTGTTATGTGTGTTATTTGGAGTTGATATGTTTGATTGTGTTTATCCAACAAGAACTGCAAGATTTGGAACAGCATTTAGTGATGATGGGTTAGTGACATTAAAGATTAATAAATATAAAGATGATTTTAATGTGATTGATGAGTCATGTGATTGTTTATGTTGTAAAAAAGGAAATGGACTAACAAAGTCAGCTCTTCATTTTATGTTTACAAATGGAGCTGTTGATGGTACACCAGTAGCACAATATTTAACCCATCACAATATATCATATCTCTTTAATTTAATGAGGAAATATAGAGTGGCAATTAGAGAAGGTAAATCAAAAACATTTGCTTGTGATTATATTATAAGATTTTATGGAGGAAAAGAACATGTTCCACAATGGATTATTGATGCATTAACAAAAGCTGGTGTAGAGTTTGAATAAAAAGAAGTCACATGAAAAATATAAAAAAAAAGATAATAAAATTTTTTAATAAGTTTAATTTTTTATTATTTTAGTGAAAAATATCTTCACAAAAAGAAAAAAAAAATAAACATCTAATTATTTATATTAAAATGAGTGTAACAACTTCTTTATCCGCAGAACAATGGCAACATGACCATTTTATTGTCCATACAAGTAAAGCTGGTTATTTAGCTCAAAGCATTAGTGCAGTACTTGGATATCCAATTATTCCAATTATTCATAAAAAGTTTAGTGATGGAGAGTGTTATTATAGAATTGCTATTCCTGAAAGAACTTCATTAGTTGGAAGAGATGTAGTTGTTGTAAGTTCTATTGTTGATGACCAGGAATTACTTGAAGTAGTAAGAATTGGAGGAGAATTAGCAGAACTTGGAACAAAAAGAAGAATTTTTGTGATTCCATATCTTATGTATTCTACTATGGAACGAGCAGTTCATCCTGGAGAAGTTGTTACATGTAAATCTACAGTAAGAATGTTATGTGGTATACCATCTTCTGGGTTAGGAAATTTATTTATGTTAATGGACCTTCATACATCAGGTATTATTCATTATTTTGAAGGTACAGTTCAAGCAATGGAATTATATGCTGAAAGTACTCTTGAACAAGCAATTGCTGAGAATATTGATTTTAGTGAACCAGTAATTTTTGGTTCAGCAGACCTTGGAAGACCTTTATGGGTAGAAACTTTTGCTAATCATTTTGGAGTTGGAATTGCTTTTATTAGAAAAAGTAGGTCCTTTGAAGACACTCATGTTATAGGTGAACCTATTGGAGATGTTAAAGGAAAACATGTTGTTATTTATGATGATTTGACAAGATCAGCTGGATCATTGATTAAAGCTTGTAATGCTTATTTAGATAATGGAGCTATTAAAGTGACTGCAGTTGTTACTCATTTATCATTAATTGATGATGATGTTGTACAAAAAGTTATTGACTCAAGAATTGATCGAGTAATTGCTACTAATAGTAATGTTAGATCTCAAATGGATGCAGTTAAAAATAGTAAGAAGTTTATTATTTGTGATATTTCTCCAGTATTTGCCAAACAGATTAGAGCATGTTTAAATAACAATAATGACTAATCATCGTTTAGTTTATTTTATTTCTTCTTTTCTTTTTTTTTTAATAAAATAAAAAAAAGAGATTCAAAAAACTCATTAAATGAGTAACGAACATCTCATTCATCAGTTAGAAAATGAAATACAAAAACTAAAGAAAAGAGTTGAAGAAATGGAATTAATAGAAGAATTTCCTTCTGCTATTGATGCTTTTAAATATATACTTCAAGTATCGAATAATAATGATAATAGAAAAGTTAAACAACTTATTCAACTCTATGAAAAACAATTTAATGAAAAAGACATTTTGGTAGCAAATGAAATTAAAAACCAATTAACAAATAAAATAGAAGAATATAATGAATTAATTAAAAACAAAGAAATTAAAGGAATTATATTAACTGTTATTTCACAAGAACGTAAAGAAGAACAAAAAGTTATTGAAAAAGTAATAGAATTATTTAATTTAAATAAAATAAATGAACAACGTAAAGATGAACTTCTTCAATATTTTGATTCATGTTTAATAGAATTAGAAATACTTAAAAAAGAAATAGGAAGTTATCAAAAAGGAATTAGAAATGAAATGCCCAAACCAATTCGTATTATTTCACATTCACCATCATTTGAAAATTTTAATTCATTACCAACAACAAAAAGTCCAAAAATAAATAACTATGGAGAAATAGCAAAAATTATTGAAAGTACATTTAAAATAAATAGTGATACTATTATGATTTTAATGAATACTATTCATATGAATAAAATGAACTTTCTTACTGAAAATTATTCATCATTAGAGAAAATTACAAAAGAAGGATTAGTTAATATTATTAAAGGAAATGAAAATGTTATGATATTTTTCTTTTTAAAAAGAAATATTATTGTTGGTATTTATTTTAATACTCCTCTTCAACCTGATAAACAAATTAAAGAAAATGATCAATTTTTATTATTTATTATTGAAGATACAACAATTACTTTTTGTCATCAAAAAAGAGAACAAGGAACTTTAATTAGATTAGGAAAAGAAGATAACGATTTTAATGACTCTTGGATTGAAATAGAAAATGGTTTTAAATTATATCAAGAAAAGTCTGGAACTGTTTTTACTATTCCTAAATTAATACTTTCTTTTGATGAAAAATATATGAATGAATTTGTTATTCAAAAAAAGTCTATTCTTTTTCCAAATACAAAATATGAATTAAATAAAATTGCTGCTTTAAAATGGTTTAATTAATAATTATTTTTATATTTTTTAGTTTTATTTATTTTTATAT